TAAAATAAAATAAAATCACATAAGTACCAGAAAATGAATGAATTCCTCCATAACCTAGGTGTTTTTTTTTGTTTGTTTGTTTTTTTTTGTTTTTTGACAGGCAGAGTGGACAGTGAGAGAGAGAGACAGAGAGAGGGGACAGGGGGGAAAGGTCTTCCTTTTTTGCCGTTGGTTCACCCCTCCAATGGCCGCCGCGGGCCAGCGCGCTGCGGGCAGCGCACCGCGCTGATCCGATGGCAGGAGCCAGGAGCCAGGTGCTTTTCCTGGTCTCCCATGGGGTGCAGGGCCCAAGCACCTGGGCCATCCTCCACTGCACTCCCTGGCCACAGCAGAGGGCTGGCCTGGAAGAGGGGCAACAGGGACAGAATCCGGCGCCCCGACCGGGACTAGAACCCGGTGTGCCGGCGCCGCTAGGCGGAGGATTAGCCTAGTGAGCCGCGGCGCCGGCCCATAACCTAGGTTTTGACAAAGAATTTCAGAGTATGATTCAAAATCCACATGCATAAGAAAAATGATAAATTCAAATTGTATTTTGCTTGGCTAAAAAAATAAATTGAACAAACTGAGGAAAAACATAATATATTATACATATTACAAATTGTAACATATTTATAAAAACAATTTTTTAGATTTATTTAATTGAAAGGCAGAGTGAGAGAGAGAGATGAGAGAGATGTCTTTCAATCACTTCTCAAATGGTCACAATGGCCAGGGCTGGGCAATGTCCAAGTCAGGAGACTGGAACTCCTTTCAGGTCTCCCAGGTGGGTGACAAGGGCCCAAAATTTGGGCCATCATCTGCTGTTCTCCCAGGCTCATTAGCAGGGAACTGGATTGGATGCAGAGTAGCCAGGACTCAAACCAGCACTCTGATACGGGATGCCAGCATAGCTAGTGTCAGCTTAATCTGCTGTACCACAACACCAGACCCTATAAAAATATTTATAACACATTACAGAAGTCTAATATGTATATGTAGACCATAAACAAATTAATAAAAAAGATCATGGGGCTGGCACTGTGGCGCAGTGGGTTAAAGCCCTGGCCTGAGGTGCTGGCATCCCATATGGGCACCAGTTCAGGTCCCGGCTGCTCCTCTTGCGATCCAGCTCTCTGCTATGACCTGGGAAAGCATTAAGAAGATGGCCCAAGTCTTTGGGCCCCTGTGTCCATGTGGGAGACCTGGAATAAGCTCCTGACTTTGGAATGGCACAGCTCCAGCCATTATGGCCATCTGGGGAGTGAACCAGCGGATGGAAGAGCTCTCTCTATGTCTCTACCTTTCTCTGTAACTGTCTTTCAAATAAATAAAATAAATAAGGGAGGGAGGGAGGGACGGATCAAAACCTTACAAGAAAAGTGACCAAAGACATTAAGAGGCAATTCACTGTCATTTCTCTTTAATATTAAAAAGATGTTCAACTTAACTTTTTAGAAGAAATGCAAAGTAAAACTACACTGAGATACCATTTCTCCTTATGAAAATACTAGCAAAAAATTTAAAGCCAGATGCATTCTCTGTTGGCCAGACTCTGCCCAGTGAGAATACAGAATATAACAACCTTCATATAGCAGAATTCAGTTTCCTTTTTAGTAAATTTAAATACCATTTATTTTTTAGCTTAAAAATCTCTCTTCTAACAACTTATCCTAAATATCAATTGCTAATAACATAAAAATACATGAGTATACACAGAGTTTTCACTGAAGTATTTTGTAACTGCAAAATATTGGAAATAATCTAAATGAACATATAAACAGCAGAGTAGGAACCGGCACTGTTAAGTTAAGCCTCTGCCTGGGGCACCAGCATTCCATACAGGCACTGGTGCATGTCCCAGCTGTTCGTCTTCTGATCCAGCACTCTGCTGATGGCCTGGGAAAGCAGTGGAAGATGGCCCTAGTGCTTGGGCCCCTTCACCCCCTTGGGAGATCTGGAAGAAGCTCCTGGCTCCTGACTTCTGATCAGCTCAGCTCCAGCAATTGCAGCCATTTGGGGAGTGAACCACCGGATGGAAGCCCTTTCCGTCTCTCCCTCTCTGTAACTATGCCTCTCAAATAAATAAATCTTAAAAAAAAAAAAAAAAGCGTAGTCAAATAAACTATGGTACATTCACACATGGACACATATGCACACGTTTGATTTTACAGAAAATGAAGGAAAATAAACTTACAGAAACTATGGAGTGATTTCCAGGATTTTTTTTTTTTTTTTTTTTTTTTTTTTTTTTTGACAGGCAGAGTAGACAGTGAGAGAGAAAGACAGAGAGAAAGGTCTTCCTTCTGCCGTTGGTTCACCCTCCAATGGCCACCGCGGCCGGCACACTGCAGCAGGCACACTGCGCTGATCCGATGGCAGGAGCCAGGTGCTTCTCCTGGTCTCCCATGGGGTACAGGGCCCAAGCACCTGGGCCATCCTCCACTGCACTCCCTGGCCACAGCAGAGAGCTGGCCTGGAAGAGGGACAACCGGGACAGAATCCGGTGCCCCGACCAGGACTAGAACCCAGTGTGCCGGCGCCACAAGGCGGAGGATTAGCCTAGCGAGCCGCGGCGCCGGCCTCCAGGATATATTTCTAAGTGATAAAAGAAATACAGTATAATATCTTTTATACAATAAAGAGAAAATAAAATAAGTGTATCTGCTTAGATTTCTAAAAAAGAAACATGAAATTGATTTACCTACAAGGTAAATTGATTTACCCTACAAGAGTAAGAATGAATGGGAACTCATTAGAAGAGACAGGAGATAGGTGACACTACTCTGATAATAGGTTTTCTATAATTTTGTCAAAAGGATGGAAGGAGAGGCCAGCACCATGGTAAGTAAAGCTGCTGCCTGCAGTGCCGGCATTCCAAATGGGTGCCAGTTCTAGTCTCGGCTGCTCCTCTTCCAATCCAACTCTCTGCTGTGACCTGGGAAAGCAGTAGAAGATGGCCCAACTCCTTGGGCCCCTGCACCCACGTGGGAGACCAGGAAGAAGCTCCTGGCTCCTTGCTTCAAATCGGCACAGCCCCAGCCAATGCAGCCATTTGGGAAGTGAAACAGAGGATGTAAGACCTTTCTCTCTCAATCTCTCTCTCTCTCCCTCTGCTTCTCAAATAAATAAATAAATCTTTAAGAAAAAAAAAAAAAGGATGGAAGGAAAAACCTAAAATTGATTAAACAGAAACAAATTAACCAAATTATACTTTAAACAAACAAAATAACCTTTAAAAAAAGTTGTAAATGATCCTGAACTCCACTTAGTAGATTTATTTCTGCAGCAGTATGGGAGCAGCAATTCCAAAACTACTTTCTATGTATTGCAGGACTGAACATGAGTAAATAACACTGTGTAATGTTTACAGACATTCTTCTCAGCATTAAAGAAAACGGACACAAATATGGAATGAGAGAAGGCTAAGAAAATTCCAAACCAGTGCTAATACTGTGATGCTATTTCAGAATACATATACATATATACATGTATCTATGTGTGTATATATATACTATACAGAGAAGTATGTAATAATATGCATGGCATATGACTATGGGTACATATATTTACACAAACATGTATATATCTGTGTATATTTGCTGAAGGAGCCTAAAAGCACTAACTATCAGGTACAATAAGCACACCTAATATGTAGATCTTGGTTTGTAAACACCCTTTTTCAATAAAATAAACCACAGCTTCTTGAAGAAATGGCTGATTCCAGGGCAAATGTGGAAAAGTATAGTAAGAATCATGTTGTATCAAACTAAATCTTTTAAGAAGGACACATCAAGGCCGGAGCCGCGGCTCACTAGGCTAATCCTCCGCCTAGTGGCGCCGGCACACCGGGTTCTAGTCCCGGTCGGGGCGCCGGATTCTGTCCCGGTTGCCCCTCTTCCAGGCCAGCTCTCTGCTGTGGCCAGGGAGTACAGTGGAGGATGGCCCAGGTGCTTGGGCCCTGCACCCCATGGGAGACCAGGAAAAGCACCTGGCTCCTGGCTCCTGCCATCGGATCAGCACGGTGCGCCGGCCGCAGTGGGCCGGCCGCGGTGGCCATTGGAGGGTGAACCAACGGCAGAAGGAAGACCTTTCTCTCTGTCTCTCTCTCTCACTGTCCACTCTGCCTGTCAAAAAAAAAAAAAAAGAAGGACACATCAAAAAGACACAGGAATGACTTCAAGAAACTCTCATTGGACAAATATGTGACAGAAAAACATTACAATGAGTAAAAGAGGAAACAGATTATAATCCATTGACGGAACCCAGCAAACATCACTTTAACCAAGCAATGAAAGTTAACAGCACCCATCAGAACATCATCACCTCTTTATACAATCACTACTAAGTTAGTTTTCCCCAAAATGTACTGCCTGAATCTAACAATGAATCAGAAAAAGCCAAACTAGAGGGAACTCTAAAATAACTGCTCTGTACTTCTTCAAAACTAGAAAAATGACATGAAAGACAAACATTAAGATTAGATTATTTTACTTTTCGGATTTTTAAAAACAGAAATAGACCTGAATATTAAGAGTAACTGATCATGACTGGTTCTTCAATCACAAAAATACCTTAAATAATATTATTAGGACAGCTCAAGAAACCTAAGTAAGTCCTATGGATGAGAAGATGGTACTGAATCAATGTAATTTCTTGATTATGATAACTGTACTGTCACTGTATAACTTATTCTTGGTAAACATTTTTGTTCTGACATTATGTTCTGAAGTATTTAAAGATGAAATATATAGCTTACTCCCAAATGGTTCTTTAAAAATGTGCATGTGTGTTTCTGTGTAAATACACAGAAAAAGAGAAAACAATAAAACAAATGTTGGAAATGTCAACGATTGGTGAATCTGGGTGGAGAGTATTAGGAGCTTTTTATACTGTTCTTATAGCTTTAAAAAATTATGTAAAAATTAAAAATAAGTATTTCTTATTAATAAAAAAAGATGTAACACTTGAAATGTCCTTGAAAAAGAGCAAGAGTTATAAATATTTGTGTCATATATACATACCTTTCTGTATTTGTGTTAGACTGAGAGTTTAAAGAATTATCAAACTCATTCTCACTTTCTTCTGATTGGCTAATAACAGTTCCTTCTTCATCATCAACTTCATTAAGAGCCTGTATCAATGTAATAACACAAGTAACAACACAAGCTGATTATACACACTCATCCTTTCTTTCTTTTTGTCATAATAGAAAAGAGGTCCCTACTCCTAAGACTAATCTCTCCATGTGTGTTCTAGACTCCAACCCCCTTCACCTCCTTCTACTCAATCAACTGTCCTTTCTCCTGCATCTTCAACCACTCTCTGCACTGGCTTCAGCTCATTAACACTGAAATGGAAGGAAGCCTTCCCATCTTACCCTGACCTGCCTTGAGCAATCTATCTATCTTTTCTTTCACCATCAAATTTCTTGAAAGAGTTGTTCTCTACTTCTAACTTACCATCTATTCCCTGCAACATTGCTCCTGCCCTACCACTCTACTCAAATTGCTCTATACAAGGTCAGTATCAACACCTATATTCCTAATTCAAATGGATTATTTCTGTTTTTGCCTTCCCTTATTTCTCTGATGAATTAAACCCTAATGACTACATATTTCTTTATTTTAAAATCTTCATGCGTTCCTCCTCTATTTTTTTTTTTTTTTTGAATAGGTAGAGTTGTACACAGTGAGAGAGTGAGAGACAGAGAGAAAGGTCTTCCTTCCGTTGGTTCACCCCCCAAATGGCTGCTACGGTCAGAGCTGTGCCGATCCAAAGTCAGAAGCCAAGTGCTTCTTCCTGGTCTCCCATGTGGATGCAGGGGCCCAAGCACTTGGGCCATCCTCCACTACCCTCCCAGGCCACAGTAGAGCTGGAATGGAAGAGGAGCAACAACTGGGACTAGAACCCAGCACCCATATGGGATGCCAGCACCGAAGGTGGAGGATTAACCAAGTGAGCCACAGCACCAGCCCCCTCTAATTTTCATGGTACCTTATTTTCTTCCCAATCTCCTGTATTGGTTCTTCTTTTTCTACCCTTCCCTTATATTTGCTGTAACTCAAGGTCCTCCCTTAGACTTTTTCTCCTTTAATCTACTTTCTAAATGATTTTCTCTAATTCTAAAGTTCTAATTATAAGTCAACTGATGTTAATTTTTAAATCTCCATCTCCACCCAGATCTCTCTTGAGCACTACACTTTTATATTCAACTTTCTAAAAGATACCCCTATTTAACACATATAAAACTGAACATTTTCCTAAGCTTCTTCTTCCATTCTTCTGGAAAACTTGTTCCTAAATAGTACCTAAGACCATAAACAACAGTGTCACCATCTACTCAGGTGATTGAGCCAGCAGTAGGAGTATTCTGTCTCGCCTATCGCCAATCAGCCACTCATCCTGTCACCTCTACCTAATTTTAACCTCTCTCAAATCCATCCCTATTCTCCTTTACTTCTCTCCCTACTGATACTGCCCTGCATCAGGCCCTCACCAATTCTCATTAATATTCCAATCTAAGTTTTCTAACCAGGCCTTTTCTTCAGTTTTGTCCCTCCCCAATCTATCTCCCTTAGTACAGTAAATCTCATCATGACTGCAGTCTACTTAAAGTCCTCTAGCGTCTCTATTCTTATTTTCCAATTCCTTAGCCCTTCATGACCTAGCTCCTGCGTCTCTAACCTCAGCCTGTGCCACTTTTTTAATCTAATATAATTCCCATATAACTCATTGTAAATTCCAAGTTTCCTGGGCTACTACACTTTTAAACATACTAATAGATTTAAAAGAACTAGCATTTCAAGATGAACTATGTTTTTGGTATTATACCAGGCACTCTGCATAACCTATCTCAGGTGCCCTGTAAAGCAATCATATCAGGTATATTCTATTCCCATTCAACAAAAACAAAAACGCAACAAATACTCTTGTCCAACTCAGATATTTTAAGAAATCAAGTCAGGATCAAAATATGATTAGCAGCAGAGCATGAGCACAGAGCCACCTGGCTCCAAGTGGACTGACTAATTCCCTGATGTTCCCATAATGACAGACAGCGGCAGTCATGCACAGCCACACACACGGCCTGGCTTTGAATCCCATCTCTGATGCAAACTATGTGATCTTGACAAGTCAATTTTTCAGAGCCTCAGTTTCTTCATTTTATAAATAGAGGTAAAAACAATACCCACCTCCTATCTCCTAAGTAACAATAAATGTTAGGTATATCCAGTCTTATCTTGCTGAGAACAAACATTACTCAAAGAAGGTGTATTTCTTCATAATCAAGCTTTTAAAATGTTTACAACAACAACCTAAACTTTATTTCAGTGTGAGAATTACAGCTATGAGTACAACACAATACCTGAGGCTCTATGACAGATTCATCAAGGATGGACTGGGTGATAGGGTCTTGATTTACTACAATTGGACCCTGAGAGGAATCAGGAGCCAATGTTATGTTAGGAAACCCTGCACAAGGAAGATAAATAATTATGATTTTGTTTTTGCTTTCAATTTACTTTACGAGCTGTATACTGTCACAGGTTTTCATCATCATATGGAATTCTTAAATTATAATAATAATAGTAACTCACCCATATAGTGCTTACTATAAGCCAGTTACTATTTTAAAAGTTCTTATATATTCATTTACTTTACTCACAAATCTCTGAGTTTTTTACGGATTAGTAATGCAGAGATGTTACACAACAAGCTCAGGGTCACATTAATAAATGGCTGACCCAAGATTCAAATCCTGTATTAAAAACTAATGAGCTGTTTTTGGAGATTAAGATAAACAATGGATTATATACACATGAAAATGAATAACGCTGTGTATTTGACAAAAGTCAAAGTTCTTTTTAAAGACAGACTTCAGTTGCTTTAGGTTTCAAATAAATTTTTAAATTATATATACATATATATAAACACAAGTACTTTAATTATATGGTCATTTAATATTAATAAACTGGAAATTAAGTCACATTTTAAAATTACAAGAGCCTGTACATTATACTATAAAATACTTTATGGATAACAATTAACCTTTATTCAGCTGAATAATCTGTAATATTTAATTAATGTTCTTGGTAGCAAACAATTTATAATTACTAAAATCCTATCAACTCTTGTATATTATCTATCTTAAAATATCTGAAATACAAATAATATGATATCTGAAAAAGGACTTTGAATTTTTCAATTAGCTGTGGGATACAGCTACTAAGCCAAATAAGTTTTTATTTAAATTAAATACTTTACCTGTGCGCCTACGAGGAGCAAACAGATCTTTTGCTGCAGCCATCAAATTATCAGATTTCTCCAATACATCCTGCATCTGATATTGATCAGAAAGAATCTAGATACATGTTAATGACAAACATTATTCAGAAAAAAATATTTACTTTTCAAATCACACACAAAAGAAAAAAACATAGGAAGGCACAGAACACAAAAATAACCACAGTGCAAACAGCTGAAATCTTTACTTAGTACAGAGTTGGTCTTGTGTATATAAAATTAAACTAAAAATGAATCTTAATGAAGAATGGGATGGGAAAGGGAGTAGGAGTGAGATGGGAGTGGGGTTGGAAGGGGAATATGGGGGCAAGAACCACTGTATTCCTCAAGTTGTACCTATGAAATTTGCATTCATTAAATAAAAGCTTTAAAAAAAAAAACACCACAGGCCGCTACCTTCCCAAAATCCTTCAGTGGGAACATCCTTCAATACCAGTAGAGGGCGCTATTACGATAAGTAGTGACTGACCTGCTTGGCTGCCATTCAAAGCATTAAATTGGGACTCAGTACACTCATATGCACACAAATACAAACATATATATGTATGTATGCATGTATGCATGTAAAACAAATGTTTTACTTAACCTTTATTGCACAAGAACCACTATTATATTTTCTTTTTAATTTATATCTTTAAAATGATGTTTGTATAATTTGCAAATTATGATCTACAGTTAAAAACACAAATTAAAGATATGAATCTTACAGCCATAAACTCAGGGGTCTTTCAATCACTAGAGTAATTTCATAATCCATTCATAGATTATGAACTACAACTTAAAAAAGATTATTAATCTAAGATATGAATGAGCTTTATGATTGAACAAAAAAAAGTGATGTTTCTATATTATAGTTTTTTTAACCCCAGAAAACTGGAAAACTAAAAAAAAAAAAATCATCTCAGTAGTACCTCTGATTGTGCACATTCAATTTACGAACTTTCATAACAACAAGAAAGCCTACAGGTTAGCATAAGCAAGTTAAGTATCTACCACCACCAGATGGCATTATTTGGCTGAATGGAGTCTCAAAATTGGAAACTGCCCAGTTTCCAACACTGACTCAAATCAATAAAACATCTGGCAAAAAATATTCTTAGTAGAATTTCTCTATACCATGGAAACATGTGTCTCATATGACTTCAGTTATTATTTTAGGACACAGCAAGAAAAATAACAAGAGTGCCATTCCTACTTAACCCACTTCTCTCCCTGATATCACTAAGCAGTTTGGCTGGCTCAGTTGGTAAGACTGAAATCCTGATTTGCTCCTTCTACAAAGAGTGAAATTTGGGAATGATATAACAATGGTATGTTTAGATCTAGAAGACTGGGGTTCTAGGCTAAGTCAAGGGATAGAAGACAAAATCCAATCTCTAACAAACTTTGTTTCCCTTGGTTAAATGGAGATACGACCACCTCTTCAATCCCAAAAACACACTATAAGGATATGGACACACTGAAAACCTGTGAAGCACTCTAGAGATGCTTAAGAATATTTTTATAACTTAACTTATAATCCCATGAACCAAATTTCTACCCTATTTAGCTATCATGCAAGTAAAAGAAATCAACAGCGTAGGGGAAAATGTGAATGGATCAAAATAATCTACTACTATATTAGAAAAAGTACACAAAACTTATCTCCTAATAGTAATTTTAATAATTTACTTTTTTTTTAGAGGGACCAGTGTTGTCATGCAATGGGTTAAGTTGCTGCTTGCAATGCCAGCATCCCCACTGTGGAGTGCAATTCAAGACTCTGCTACTCTGCCTCCCATCCAGCTCTATGCTAGTGCACCTGGGAAGGCAGCAGAAGATGGCCCAGTGCTTGGGTCCCTTCCACCTGTGTGGCAGACCCTGATGGAGTTCCTGGCTCCTGGGTTTTGCATGGCCCAGATCTGGCTGTTGCTGCCATTTGAGGAGCGAACCAGCAGACGGAAAATTCTCTCTCTCTCTCTCTCACACACACACACACTCTCTCTCTCTCACTTTCACTCTTACTCTCTCTCCCTCCCTCCCTTCCTCTCCCTCCATCTCTCCCCTCTCTCAGTCACTCTGCCTTTCAAATCAGTAACTCTTAGAAAAAAAGCAAGAGATGGATCTGACAGAAGCCGATTGTGAAAGAATCGTCTTACTAATCATACCGAGATTTGATATTAATTACAAAAAAAAATCTCAAGGTAAGCCATTGCCTCGCCACCTTCTGCTGGTCACTGCCTGACCTCTTCAGGGGCAGATGGTTTCAGTTCCCAAACATCAGGATATTGCCCCCTTTTTTTTTTTTAAAGATTTATTTTATTTATTTGAAAGACAGAGTTACAGAGAGGCAGAGAAAAAGGTCTTCCACCAGCTAGTTCACTCCCCAGAAGGCCACAATGGCAGGAACCATGCCAATCCAAAGCTAGGAGCCAGGCACCTCCTCCTGGTCTCCCACGTGGGTGCAGGGGCCCAAGGACTTGGGCCATCTTTCACTGCTTTCCCAGGCCACAGCAGAGAGCTGGATCAGAAGTGGAACAGCCAGGGCTGGAACCGGCACCCGAATGGGATGCCAGCCCTGCAGGTGGCAGCTTTACCCACTACACCACAGCACCAGCCCCAGGATATTGACTGCCCTTTCTAAATCTAAATCACTCCTCTCAAAAAATCCATCCTCTTGATAGGGACAGTGATCTCTACGTGCCCAACTGTGTATGTTACTTCCCCTAGTTTGTAGAGCACAAACTTATTATAAGTGGTGATGTACATCTTAGATTTTCTTTTTTTTGTTTGTTTGAATTTTTAAATTTATTTTTGAAGGAATACAAATTTTATAAGTACAACTTTAGTAATATAGTCATTCTCACATATCTTAAATTTTCAAAGAATCACTAAGGTCCCTGCAAAAATGGTTTCAGAAATTCCTCATCTTAATCCTTTTGTTCTGTAACAGAAGTCATACAGAACTAGGAAATTAAAAACTTTGGAATTATCACACTTTGGGAATTTAGAGTCTTCAGGAAAGCCTCTATCTCTAGATTTAGACCTTCTCTTGCTTGATTCTTATGGCAAGAGTGTATTATACAGCAAAGTAAATGAAAGATTATGTTGGCCAAAGGTCTTTTCTCTTAATTTACAAAAATCTAGGAACCCAGCTCCAGGGGAACGAGTCCTAGTAGCTTTAATATGTGATTAAGCCTTCTTCCCTTGGTCTCATCCCATCCCTGAAACAGAAACATTATAAATTCAACCCTGAAATAAAGGCAACACATATCTTTTGACTCATCAATTCTTTTGAGAATTTATCCTATGGAGTAGGCATTTAGCCTGGCTGTTAAGATGCCATATTCCATACCAGAATACTTGGGTTCTATTCCTGGCTCCAACTTTTGACTCCAGCTTCCTGCTAATGCAGACCCCGGGTGGCAATGATGATGGTTCAAGTAACTGGGTTCCTATCACTCACATGGCAGTCCTAGAATGAGTTTCTGGCTGCTGGCTTCAGCCCCAGCCCAGCCCCAGACACTGTAGATGTTTGGGGAGTGATCCAACAGTTGTGTGAGCTTTCTGTATCTATCTCTCTCTCTCATTTTTGCTCCCCCTGCCCAGCCTTCTCTCTGCCTGTCAAGTAAATAAAGTTAAAATTTTTTATAATTGCCTTAAAATGTATTCTACAAATACACATGTACCCAAAAACATATTCAAGGATATTGATTACATCTCTTATAGTGACAAGTTAAAAAACAATCTGGGTGGCAGACACTACTACTTATCCAACAGTATTCTTTTCTCTCATTTTCCTGTAACAGCAGAACTCTCAAGCTTCAGACAAGTACATGGTGAGGTTTCCTAGTCATGTCTGCAGGTGGAAACAGTAATGTGACAGCTTTCTGGTCAACAAGAAACATGCCCAAACTTCCAGACGGTAGATAATGGAAGCATGCACTGTCTTCTGCTAGCTGGCATACAACTGAAAGAAGTGAAAACTTTCACTCTACTCACAGATAGACACCATGTAATGAAGGACTGCCGAGCATCCCATGAGCGAACACTTTACCCCCGAATTGTTTCATGAGAGAAATACATTTCTATCTTGCTTAAATTACTGTATTTTGAGGTTTTTTTCTTTCCCCAGAAGCTTAAACCATACTCTAATAGACAACCTTAGTATCCACCATTAAAGCACTAGATAAAAAATTGGAGTACATCTATATAGAAAGAATATGGCCAGCACTGTGGCATAGGCAGCATTGTGGCATAGCAGGTAAAGCTACCGCCTACAATGTAGGCATCTCATATGGGACCTAGTTCACATCCCAGCTGCCCCAATTCCAGTCCAGCTCTCTGCTAATGACCTGGAAAAAGCAGCAGAAAATGGCCCAAGTGTTTGTACCCCACCATCCACATTGGAGACTCAGATGAAGCTCCTGGCATAGGCCATGCCCAGCAGTGGCTGATGTGATCATCTGGGGAGTGAACCAGCAGATGGAAGAGCTCTTGTTCTCTCTCTCTCTAACTCTGACTTTCAAAATAAATAAATAAATCTAAAAAGAGAGAGGAAAAAAAAGAAGGAAGGGAGGGAGGGAGGGAGGGAAAATGAAAGAACACAGGATGTATGTTTAGGGCATCAATTAAGATGCTTCTTGGGATGTCTGCATTCCATATCAGAGTGCCTGGATTTAAGTTCCAGTTTCACTTCTGATCCTAGCTTCCTGGTAGTGTGCTCCCAGGGAGGCGGCAAATGATGGCTCAAGTACTTGGATCCCTGTTTCCACGTGATAAGACTTGGATGGAACACTGGGCCCCTGACTTCAGCCTGGCCCAGCCCTGAGCTGTTACAAGCATTTAGGAAGTAAGAAGTGGATAGAACATCTGTCTGTTTCTGTTTCTCTCTCTATTTTTTTAAGGGCAGATTTGTAAGTACTGCATAGAATAATTTCTCTGATGTAGTGCTAACGGGAAACACCGGAATCTCACTAAGAGCAGAGGTCTTCACCCTCTGCAATGCATTAAAATTACACAGAAAACTGTGTTTTTATGCCTTTTGAACACTTCAATGTAGGTGATTTGTCCAAGATCATCAAAAGGTACTCATCTGTAAAGAAGCAAGCTCTCTCAATCTACTATTCTTTCCTCAAGCTTATATAAACATTTATTTGAGAGATACAATTCTTCATGATGACATAAGATTGAGGCTTTCTTATTTTACTACAGTCTAATGAATTTCTCCAAAGACAGGGTATGATTTAAAGCTGCCATGAAAGGTCACCCAGTGAAATGGCTGTAGGCATCAACCTGAACAAGAAACAACAATGCAGACAAAGCACAATTCTTTATAATAATTTTAGCTCAAATAAAAAAAAAGGTTATTTTGATGCAGTTTCCTCTTATTTCCCACACTGTTTATTTCTACACACCTGATTACTTGTCCAGACACCTTATATCTGGCAAAAGGCTAAGCCAAAGACAAGTAGCTTACTATTTAATTGGAAGGCACAAATTATTTTTGATTTTTTGCAAAGTAATTTAACAGTACCATTTTTGTATTAAGAAAAATAATTGGGCCGGTGTTATGGCGTAGTATGCTAAGCCTCTACGTGCAACACCAGCATCCCATATGGGTGCCAGTTCGTGTCCCAGCTGCTCCTCTTTTGATTCAGCTCTCTGCTTATGGCCTGGGAAAGCAGTGAAAGATGGCCCAAGTTCTTGGGCCCCTGTACCGGCATGGGAGACTGGGACGAAGCTTCTGGCTCCTAGCTTTGGATAGGCTCAGCTCAGCTATTGCAGCCCTTTCAGGAGTGAACCAGCAGATGAAAAACCTTTCTCTCTGTCCCTCCCTCTCTCTGTCAGCAACTCTACCTCTCAAATAGATAAAATCTTTTTTTTTTTTTTTTGACAGGCAGAGTGGACAGTGAGAGAGAGAGACAGAGAGAAAGGTCTTCCTTTTTGCCGTTGGTTCACCCTCCAATGGCCACCGCGGCCGGCGCACTGCGGCCGGCGCACCGTGCTGATCCGATGGCAGGAGCCAGGTACTTCTCCTGGTCTCCATGGGGAGCAGGGCCCAAGCACTTGGGCCATCCTCCACTGCACTCCCTGGCCACAGCAGAGAGCTGGCCTGGAAGAGGGGCAACCGGGGACAGAAGCCGGCGCCCCGACCGGGACTAGAACCCGGTGTGCTGGCGCCTTAAGGCAGAGGATTAGTCTAGTGAGCCGCGGTGCCGGCCCTAAAATCTTAAAATAGAAAAATAACTATAACAGTTATATATATAAATATTTATAAATTTATATAAAATTTATAAAATTATATATAATTTATAAAATTTATATATAAAATTTATTTTAAAATTATATATATTATATATAAATATAAACATTTATATATATAAAACTGCTATAATTATTAGCACACACACAGTGCTAACTATGTGCCGATGACTGTGCTAATAACTTTACATATCATTACATTACCTAAGTATTATAGCATTAAAATCTCATAGTAATACAACTAGGCCAACAGTGTTTTCCCATTATAAAGATGAAAAAATTCAGGACGAGATGTTAAATGTGTTTAAGATCACATAGCTAGGAAGTTGTGGAGCACTGCTTCTCAGCCTTTTGGCTAAGATCAAGTGTGGAAGTTGTGGAGCAGAAATCCAAACCATGAAACTAGACTCTGTCACTCTGCTGTTTTTTTGAAGTCCACATGTAGATCATCATATAAGGATGCAATAATTACTAACATCTCTCCAAAGGAATCAAATTGAGGGAAAAACTGAGAACCTTATTTATCTTCTTCTCTATCTCCAAAGATAATGTAGTTTGTCATTACCTCCTTCATGATAGATAATTTTCTTTTCTCAAGATTCGCGCTTTCTGTTTTCTGCTTCCTCCATTTTCTCTTCAGAGCTTTTTCTTGGAGTTCCCAGTGTACTAATGCTCTATTCTTTGATTTGTGTATTTCATGACGACGTTCCTATGTAGAAAAAAAAATATAAAGGAACGTTTCAGGAACAAAGAACTGCCTATTTTGATAGTGGGCTCCCCTAGTCGAGTTCTTTTTTTAGTTTTTTTATATATTTATATTTATATTTACCCACAGCCAAAATGTTCATAGTCCTCTAACTTTTCAAAAATGACTTAAAAGTATCTAGAACTAGTAGACATAGCTAAAAGGAACAGTGAAAATATTAATTTCTGCTTCCTTCCAAATCCATGAGTATTTTTCAAAGCAAAGGTTGGAATTCATTTAATGGGTAATTAAATTAAAATGGTTTGGGGCTGGCATTGTGGCACAGTGGACAGTGCTGCCACCTGAGATATTGGCATAAATTTGAGCACTGGTTCAAATCCCAACTGTCCACTTCTGATCCAGCTCCCTGGTAATGGCCTGAGAAAAGCAATGGAAGATGGCCCAAGTGCTAGGATCCCTGCCACAAACATGGGAAACCCAGAAGCTGCTCCTGGATCCTGGCTTCAGTCTGGCCCAGCCCTGGCTGTAGTGGCCATCTGGCAAGTCAACCAGTGGATGGAAGTTATCTCTCTCTCTCTCTCTCTCTCTCTCTCTCTCTCTCTCTCTCTCTCTGTTTCTCTCTCCCTCTGTAACTCTGACTTTCAAATAAATAAATCTTAAAGAAAAAGAAAAACTGGGTCAAGAACAGCATTCTACTATGTCATCTTTTGCAAAGATAACCCCATTTCATGATGATGACATCACCACCAAGAACTCATAATGTCATGTTCTTATTGCCTGGCAATGGTTTCATACGGAAGCGGGTCACTGAAGAAGCAGATATCCAGAGGAGGTGAGACTTTAAGACAAAAGAGAAAAGCCACAGATCTCATCAATCAGAGGGGAGGCGTTCACTGAGGGGGTTAAGAAATGAAAGCAGATATCTGGCTTTCTAAGTACCACAGGGTTCAGAAGTAGGAATAGGAATAAAGTCCATATATCAACTGATTAAAAACACAGTTCTCACCATATAAATAAGTCCCTAAAGACTAATAAATAAATTATATATAAAGATTCTGATTCAAAGAAAACAAATGAAGATGACTTTTTTTTACAATTGGAAAAATATAAATACAGACTATTACCAAGCAATTATTGTTTACACCTATTAATACAACGGTGGTTTTGTTTTTTTAAAAAGAAGAGTCTATAGTTGGCACAAAATAATGTGTTCTCTGAGGTTTGCTCTAAAATGCTTCATTTGAGAGGCTGGTGCTGTGGCATAGTAGGTGAAGCCTCTGCCTGCAGCACCAGCATCCCACATGGGTGCCAGATCAAGTCCCTGCTGCTCCACTTTCGATCCAGCTCCCTGCTGATAACCTGGGAAAGCAGTGGAAAATGGCCCAAGCCAGAATAAACTTCTGGCTCCTGGCTTCAGATTGGCTTTGCGGCCATTTGGGGAGTGAACCAGCAGGTGGAAGGCCTTTCTCTCTGTCTCTCCCTCTCTCTAACTGTGCCACTCAAATAAATCTTAAAAAAAAAAAAAAAAAAAAAAAAAGCTTCAGTGAAGGAAGAAAGGGGTACAATAAATCAAACAGCAAGGGCAAAATTTTAAAAACTATTATATCTGGAGAACACTACACAGTTCTTTATATTTTTGTCTCTACTTTCATTTGAACTTGAAACTTTCACAAAATAGTTAAGTCAGTTGGGCATCATTTCTGTCTTCAATGAATATTTTTTAAAAAGCTTTATTTATTTGAAAGAGTTATACAGAAACAGAAAGAGAAGCAGAGAGAAAGGGGTCTTCCATCCACTGGTTCATTCTCTAATTGGCCACAATGGACAGCACAACGCCGATCCTAAGCCAGGTCGATCCCAAGCCAAGAGCCAGGAGCCTCTTCTGGGTCTCCCATGCTCCCATGCTCCCATCCTCCACTGCTTTCCCAAGCCATAGCAGAGAGCTGGATCAGAAGTGGAGCAACCAGGACTTGAACCGGTGTCCATATGGGATACTGGCACTGCAGAGGGCGGCTTTACCTGCTGGCCCCCTCAATGAATATTTAAAGAGCACCTACTGTGTTAAGACTCCTAGCTCCACTACAATATATAAGAAAGCATTAGCAATCTGACAAGGGAGCCTGGGCATACCTATATAAAGACAAATGATGTATTAAATGGCATTTAGTCAATGTCTTATCTAGGTATTAAATACAACAGTTCAGAGGAAAAATAACTGTTGGTAAGTTTCAAAAAACATAGGCCTGAGGAGCTGTGGTATAGCGGGTTAAGCCCCCTCCTGCAGTGCTGGCATCCCAAATGGGCTGCTCCACTTCTGATCCAGCTCTCTGCTATAGTCTGGGAAAGCATTAGAAGACCTGGAGGAAGCCCCTGGCTCCTGGCTTCAGATAGGCGCAGCTCCGGCCATTGCGACCCACTGAGGAACGAACTAGTGGATGAAAGACCTCTCACTCTCTCTGCCTCTCCTCTCTCTGTATAACTCTGACTTTCAAATAAATAAATAAATCTTTAAAAAAAAAGTTTCAAAAAATAGGACTTCAAATCTACTACAAAGCTACAGTATTCAAGACAGTGTGGTACTAATATAAACAGACATATTGATCAATGGGATAGGACTGATAGAGCAGAATAAACCCTTATATTTATGGATATGAATTTTTTTCACCAATAGCACAAAGATAATTCAATGCAGGAATGAACAGTCTTTTTCACAAATGTCATTTGGACAACTGGATATCCATTTGCAGAATAATGAAGTTGGACCTCTACCTTACACCATACAAAAATTAATGTAAAATTATTTATAGACCTAAATATGAGTTAAAACTAAAAAATTCTTGGAACAAAAGATAACAGTAAATCTTTGTGGACTTTGGACTAAGTAATGATTTCTCAAATATGACTCCTAAAAATACGAGTGACAAAAGGAAAGATAAGTCGGACTTCATCAAAATTTAAAACTCTGATGATTAAAATACACCATCAAGAAAGTGAAAAGACAACTTAAGGAATAGAAGAAAATGTTTATAAATCACATATCTGATAAGCAATGTGTATCCATATAGACTTTATAATTCAAAAAATTATAATTCAAAAAATATGGTAACATAAATAATCCAATTTAAAAATTACTAAAGAATTGGAATAAACATTTCTCCCAAAGAAGAGACCACAAATGGCCAATAAGCACATGATGAAGATGTTCAACATCATTTCTGATTAAGGGAATGCAAATCAAAACAGCAAATTAGCACTTCATACTCTCACAAGGAGAACTACAACAGAAAAGATTGAACAACAATGTGGAGAAATTGGAAGCTTCACATATGCTGGTGGAATGGAAATGGAGCGGCCAATTTGGCAAACAGTTTGGCAGATGTTCAGAAAGTTAATTATGGAAGTATCATATGACCCAGCAATTCTACTCCTACAGATATACACAAAAGAATTGACACCATATGTTCAGAAAAAAATTATACATGAATGTCTACAATAGCATTATTCATAACAGTTAAAAAGCAGAAACCCAAATGTATACCAGTGGATGAATGGATAAATATGGTATCTCATACAATGGGATATTTAGCAATACTAAGAAATAAAGTACTAATACATACTGTAACAATGCGCCTTGAAAACATTAGAAAGAAGCTAGAAGACAAAGGCCAGTGTATTCCATTTATAAGAAAAGTACAAGATAGGGCTGGCGCTATGGCGTAGTGGATAAAGCCACTATCTTCAGTGCCAGCATCCCATATGGGCACCGGTCCGAGTCCTGACTGCTCCACTTCAGAGCCAGCTCTCTGCTATGGCCTGGGAAAGCAGTGGAAGACGGCGTAAATCCTTGGACCTCTGCACCCATGTGGGAGACCCAGAAGAAGCTCCTGGCTCCTGGCTTCAGTTCAATTCCACTCCAGCCATTGCAGCCATTTGGGGAGTAAACCAACAGATGGAAGATTTCTCTCTCTCTTTTTTTCTCTCTCTGCCTCTGCCTCTCTGTAACTCTTTCAAGTAAATAAATTAAATCTAAAAAAAAAAAAAAAGAAAAAAAAAGTACAAGATAGGCAAATCCATGAAGACATAATGTAGATTAGTCACTGCTACAAACTGAGGGAAGGTGGGCATAGGGAGTGACTATTAACGAGTATAGGATTTCTTTTTGGTGTGATGAAAACATTCTAAAACTAGTTACAGTGGTTGTACAAGTCTGTAAATATACCAAAAACCACTAAATTGAATACTTTTAAAAGAGTAAATTCTATGGTATGTGAATTATGTATCAATAAAGCTGTTTTTTTTTAAAACACAGTAGAGGGGCAGGCTCTGGCCCAGTGATTAAGGCACAGGTTAATATGCCTGCATCCCATGTGGGATGTGACATGGTTCAATACCTCGTTCTGTTCTCCATCTCAACTTCCTGCTAATGCAGACTCTGGGAGGTGATGGTGATGGCTCAAGCTATTACATTTCTGCCACCCATGTGAGAAACCTGGATTGAGGTAATAGTTCCCAGATTCAGAGCCAGTCAAGGGCCATAGCAGACATCTGGGGAATAAACCAGCAGACAGGAATACATTCTCTTTCTCTCTGCCTCTCAAAACACAAGCAAACCAAAACAAAGCAACAACAACAAAAAAAACACACAACCTCTACAGCAAAAATATTAAAAGGAAAAAAAAAAAGGACTCAAACCAGGACAAAGAAGCAAAGTAAAATTTTGACAGGTAGAAAGGGAAGGCAGGGAAGCTGTTACAAATAAGCAAAGTAATATAAGTTAGGGTCCAAAAATAGAAATACTCATTGCATGTCAAGAGATAAATTACAACACTGACTAGACCGGGGTGGGGAACATCAAGTCCCTGGGTCATACAAGGCCCATGAAATCATTTGGCCTGGCCCTGCTGTTAGGTAGGAAGTCAGATATTAGCTTATGTGTGTGTGTGACAAAGGCCTAAAGAGTTGACATCTAAGTCCAGCATATGCATCTCAAAGTCATCCCGATAACCTTCCAGGGGCAGCCGAAGTATTTACATCCTGCCCTGTCCCTTCTACCCAATAACCTGCCAGGTGGGGGTCCCCGCCCCTTCTGCCTGATAATCTTTCAGGTGCAGCCCAATATCGCATTTCAAATATCCTGCTCTGGATCCTGATCCTCCAGGGGGTCCTGCCCATCCTTCCTCTAACCAGGGCAGGCCAGCCAGGCTTCCCCGTCTGATAACTTCAGGGGGAAAACTCAGAGAGGAATTTTTCGTACTTACATCCAAAAAGTCTTTTGTTTCAGGAGGAGAAGATGTGGGAAGACAAGACCCATCCCCTTAAAAACTCCCCGGCCTCGACCAGACTGCACACTCAGTCCTCTGCCTCTATGCTGAGCCGCCCAGGTGTACTCTCTCCACTCAACCATGTAACCCGCGCTCTCCCCCTGTCTGAGCAACTGGGCAATCTCTCTCAGGTTCTGTCTGGAGAGGTGCCCATCCATTCCTATGGATGTCCGTGCCCTAATAAACCTTGCTATTTTACCTTCCACTACTCTCTGTCTCACGCCTGAATTCTTTCTTGCACGAAGACAAGGACCCTGCCATTCTCTGGTAACACTGCAACTGCAGGCAGGACTCTAAATTCAATAAATCTACAGCAGGCTAACTTTTTAAATTGGTAATTTTGTATGGACTGCAAATGTTATAAATATCCAAAGGGCCCTTGGCAGAATAAAAGGTTCCCTACCCCTGGACTAGAATGATAAGTTTATATGTGGAAGTAATAACTAATAATGTTGATATCTATAGATAGGTAAGGACCAATAGATATCTACAGGGAAATATTCAACTGGACAGATTTGAACTGTAAACAGAACCTATTTAATTTTAATGGAATTCTTTTTTTTTTTTTTTTTTTTGACAGGCAGAGTGGATAGTGAGAGAGAGAGAGACAGAGAGAAAGGTCTTCCTTTTGCCGTTGGTTCACCCTCCAATGGCCACCACGGCTGGCGCGCTGCGGCTGGTGCACCGTGCTGATCCGAAGGCAGGAGCCAGGTGCTTCTCCTGGTCTCCCCTGGGGGCAGGGCCCAAGCACTTGGGCCATCCTCCACTGCACTCCCTGGCCATAGCAGAGGGCTGGCCTGGAAGAGGGGCAACCGGGACAGAATCCGGCGCCCCGACCGGGACTAGAACCCAGTGTGCCGGTGCCGCTAGGTGGAGGATTAGCCTATTGAGCCGCAGCGCCGGCCTCTATTTAATGGAATTCTAATATATACTAATTGATATACCTAAGTCCAAAAGATGAGCGTTTTGATTTTAAACAGACACAGGCAAGACTAATCATAAGTAACCACCTTCCAAGGAAGTGACTATGGTTTCTATTCTGAAGCCTAGAAACCAAATATCAAATAAAACAGTGAATAAATGAGTTTATTTTTGATATTTAACTTACCAGATCTTCAGGAGTTGCCCGATGAACTGTTAGATCATTCACAGTATTCTGCAAAAGAAAAAAAAAGGCCTTAAAAAAAAGTTTCTTGTAAAATATGAATATTTACTGGGTTGTCATGACTGCAAATGGATTCAAAATCCTAAGGTCAAAATTCTGTCTTTCCAGGAACCAGTATTCTTACTATAAATATTAACACAGATTATTTTTAGGTTTTATAGAACACAACAGACTAATTTTAGGAGTCTTACATAAAATGAGCATTCAATTCAACAAGCATTAAGCAATGAATGAAAGAAGGTGGTATATATTCAAATTAAATCAGTTTAGTGAAAGTTATAGGTTTCAACCTATACTCTGGAATCCTGGGTTCCATAAGCCCAATCTCAAGATTCCTAACAGAAAGTGTGATCGCCATACCATACCATACCATACCAGGTTGTAACATATAAAGTCAATGTACATAAATCAGTAGTCTTGTTATAAAGCAATAATGAATCAAGTGAAACCAAAATAAAGAAAGTTAACACAATACCATTTCCAATAGCTACAAACCACATACACACAAACACACTATCTGAGAATAAATCTAACCAAAGTTGTGAAAGAATTTACAATGAAAATTACAAATCACTAATGAAAGAAATCAAGGTAAGTTGAAGAAAGGGAAAGGCATCCAATGCTTGTGAATTGGAGGAATCAGTATTTTTAAATGCGCATATTATCCAAAGTGATTTACAGATTCAATGCAAATCCTATTAAAATCCCAATATCATTTTTCACTGAACTAGAAAAATGCATTACTAAAACTTGGATGGAACCATAAAAAGACCCCCAAACAGCCCAAAGAACAAAATAGGAGACATCACACTACCTGACTTTAAAATATATTTCACATCTACAGTAACTGAAATAGTACGGTATTGGCATACCAACAGATCTATAGACCAATAGAACAGAATAGATACCCTAGAAGTAAACCCAAACACCTACAGATAACTGGTCTTTTACAAAGGTCTCAGAACATGCATTGGAAAAAAAGGCCAGTCTTTAATAAGTGGTGTTAGGAAACTCAGATATCCAGATGCAGAAGAATGAAATTAAATGCCTCTCTCTCACCATGTGCTCACGCAGGAGATCACAAAAAGGGATAAGCCACTGCCCCACAAACACAAAGGGTCTTCAAAAGGTTCATGGAAAATGAGTATTATGAAAAAGCTTATGCATGGAATTCAAAATATTTTTGCAACAAAATAAACTCGTACTAATGTGCTAATGTGTTATAACATGGGTGAACTAAGAAAGATAAGACATCAATTTGAAAAGAGCCCCTATCAGAGCACCGTGAATTGTGCTGCAATTGGCATAAAAACAAACACCATGAGAAACAGTGACTTGATCAGCCCTTGTCCTGACTGTTGATGAACAACTTAATACTTTATCCCTTTTAGTATTTTTTTTTTCTGCTACTTAATACTATTGGTTGAACTCTGTAATTAACACACAATTATTCTTAGGTGTTATAATTTAACTGAAAAGTGATCTCTGTTAAATATAAGAGTGGGAATAAGAGAGGGAGGAGATGTACAATTTGGCACATGCTCAAGGTGACTTGCCCAAAATGGTAGAGTTAGAAATGTGCCAGGGGATTCCAATTCAATCCCATCAAGGTGGCATGTACCAGTGCCATCTCACTAGTCAAAGTGATCAATTTCAGTTTACAACTGATCATACTGATAGGTCTAAGAGTCAAAGGGATCACATAAACAAGACTAGTGTCTGCTAATACTAACAGATAGGATAAAAAAAAAGAGAGAGAGAGAGAATGATCCAACGTGGGAAGCAGGATACACAGCAGACTCAGAATAAATATTTTTAAAAAACAAAGATTTTTTCAATGCTAGCAATAATAAAAAGTAAATGACAAAGGTTTTTAATGCAATTTCAAATGATGGGTATCAATTAAGTTTTGTGCAACAGAAGCATACTGGAATAAATACTGAATTCAAAGAAACCTCTCTGAAGAGGACATACTTATTTTCCCCTCTTAATCAGTTTCTTTACCTTAAGAGTGATATCCTTATAATATTTAATAGCAAATCAGTTAGCAACAACACAATCTAAACACAGAAAATCCTCACACTTCCAAAGACTGTCAGTTTGCCAGGTATCTGGATAAGATGTTGGGCTATAAATAAGCAAGTCCAAAGGAATTCCTGAGATCCAAACTATCCCTGGCTGGTTACTCTCCACAACAGAAAGCAAAGGCACCTAAAGATTCACAGTCCAAACTAAAGAACCAGCCAGCAAAACACATAACCCCCTTGGTAACACCATGCTAATATTGAGATTAGGAGCCAGAGATCATATATTCCAAAAACTTGAGACTGTCTTACATCTTAAAAGAATCCTTGTATGCTGAAACTGACCAGGGGCCTGTGTTGTGATGCAGCAAGTTAAGCTGCCACCTGCAAAGCCAGCATCCTATACGAGTCCCAGTTCAAGTCCCAGCTGCTCCATTTTTCACTGAGCTCCCTGCTAATGTGCTTGGCCCCTGCTATCCACTTGGGGACCCGGATGAAATTCCAGGCTCCTAGCTTTAGCCTGGCCCAACAGTGGCCCTTGTGGCCATTTAGGAAGTAAACCAGTGGGTGGAAGATACCTGTCTCTGTCTCTGTCTCTCGCTCACTCTCTCTAATCCCACCTTTCAGATAAATAAATAAATCTTAAAAAAAAAAAAAAGAAAAGAAAGAAAAGAAACTGACTAGCCTTTGTAGGTGAGCAAAAAACAATTCAAGGGGTAAGAGATCAAGATCTACCATTTTTTCAGTCAAAAATGCCACTCACATGATTATGGTATCACTGGTTGCTGTGGGCAAATCTAAAAGAAGGTACCAAGAAAATCCAGACTTCAGTGACAAAAGTTAGCTAGAACTGCCTTAAGCAGAGTTCTCAAACAAGTAGAGGTGAGAAATCTTCTTTTAAATACAAGTTCCCCATCGCCTTAAGATTCTAACTCTTTAAAGGAGCCAGAAGATACAGCCTGAACAGATCAGTTCCACAAAACTCCCTGAAAGACTCTGTTCTTTTCTCCAAGATCTACGATATAATATACTCAGAAGCCCACTTTAACCTATCAAATACTGAGCCCCCTTCAGAACATGTCCTGAGTGACTACTGCCATGGCATCTTGTCTATGCCCCTAGAGTGATGTTGTGTTGTTTCTTGTCCCAAGTAAACTTACATCCCATTCTTGCTTCACTGAAGGTTTCTTCTTCTTTACCTTTAGTACTTTTCTTCCACCTCCCCGGGGACTGTAACGGTTCACTCTGACAAATGACATCTAGAAGTAAAATAATATTAAAAATTTTAAACATAAGAAAAAGTAATAATTAAGCATCACTAAAGAGGAAAAAGACATCTAAGAAAAACAAAGTAAGTCTTCCAAGTCAGAAGAATTAAGCAGGATGAAAGGAACAAGCTATCAAAATACTTAGTTCTATCATTTTACAATTAATAGAAAGTTGGTATTAATAATTACAGTAAAAAATGTTTCGAGTCAACAACTTAAATATATTTGCTTAAGAAAGAGCTCTAGGAATGCAGGAAGTATGGTCTCAAGCCGAGAACTAAGATAGCAGTCATATGCTTCATCATCAGTTATACAATTTTACAATTAGAAAAACTGTCAGTTAAATGCTAAAAATATGAAAACAAGGTCAAAGAAGGGAAGGGTAAAAGAGAGCTGGAGTTCTTTTTTATACATTCTAACACTCAAAGTCACTACCAAGTACATTTGTGCCTACCTTACAACAAAGATTAAACTTTGGAGAACAAATGAGGTAGGATACCACTTCTAATATATCTTTCATATGAAATTGATTATTGATTTTAAACTACAAATGTGAATATTGCCAGCATTAGCTTAGCATATTTGAGACAGCAATGCTAAGGCCTCTGGACCAAATATACAAAATTAATGAAAGACCCACAATCCCTGAACACCAACATTTTACAATGCGTATATAGGAGAGGGAATAACTTACAAAGCAACACAAATACATGACTCCTGCTCCAAGACCTCTTAACCTATCTAAATAATTACGGAACTTTTTAGCTGACTCCCTTACTCCAAATTAGCTTAACGACTCTAGGGGCCAGCGTTGTGGTGTTAATGGGTAAAGGCACTGCATATAATGCCCTACATCCCACATGGGTACCAGTTGGAGTCCTGGATTCTCCACTTGCAATCCAGTTCCCTGCTAATGTACCAGAAAAATTGCAGAAGAAAGACTAATTATTTGGGCCCCTGTACCCATGTGGGAAACCTGGATGAAGCTCCTGGCTCCTGGGTTTGGCCTGGTTTAGTCCTGACCATTGCGGTCATTTGGGGAGTGAACCAGTAGATGGGAGATTCTCTCCCCCCCCGCCCCCCGGTCTCTATTGCTCTCTCTGTAACTCTGCTCCTCAAATAAATAAATTTTAAAAAAAGACTAACATTTTCCTTAAGTACATTTTTTCTTGTGTTTTTTTTACTTTATTTATATAAAGGGAACTTATATATTTATATAAAGGGAATTTATTTATATAAATTTCACTTATTTCTCATATAAATATATATATTCAGTTTTAAGAGCATAATACTTCCCATCCTACCCACCCTCCTTCTTATTTTTCTTTTAATTTTTACAATGACATACTTTTTTTTTTATTTTTTATTTATTTATTTTTTGTCGCTCCCCCATTCTCGGAGGAACGACACAGGACCCTGCGCTGTTCTTTTATCTGCTCGGCTCTTTCCCGGGTTAGCTGCCGTTCCCCTACTCGCAGAGGAACGACGCCGTCCCGGGGTTAGCTGCCGGCCCCTCGCCTCCTCGCCTCCTCGCCTCCTCGCCTCCTCGGAGGGGCGGCACCCCCTGCCGCTTTCCCCGCTTCGGCAGAGGAGCGGCACACCACCAGCTGGCTCTCTCGGGGGCTGCTCAGATGTTCCTCAGGTGTTCCCTCAGATGTTCCCTGTGCATGTTGTCTCTCTCCTCCTTTATAGTCCTCTTCCACCAATCCAAACTCTGCTACCCACACGCCGAGCAGGCTGCTCTCCTCCAATCAGTAGCAGGATCAGCTCCTGCAGCTTATCAAACTGATGAGGCAGCCGCGTAGTTGTTTGCTTCTCCCCAGAGCCATATTGTGGGAGAGCAGATGCATAGAATTAGTCCTAGTTCCAGTAATTTAGTCTAGTCTCAGTTGCTCCCCACAATTTTTGCCAGGCAGAGTTAGACAGTGAGAGAGACAGAGACAGAGTTATAGACAGTGAGAGAGAGACAGAGAGAAAGGTCTTCCTTTTCCGTTGGTTCACCCCCCAAATGGCCGCTATGGCCGGCGCGCTGCACCAATCCGAAGCCAGGAGCCAGGTGCTTCCTCCTGGTCTCCCATGCAGGTGCAGGCCCCAAGCACTTGGGCCATCCTCCACTGCCTTCCCGGGCCACAGCAGAGAGCTGGCCTGGAAGAGGAGCAACTGGGACAGAATCCGGCACCCCGACCAGGACTAGAACCCGGTGTGCCAGCGGCACTGCAAGCAGAGGATTAGCCAGGTGAGCCACAGTGCCAGCCATAATGACATACTTTCAATTTACTTTATAAGTACAAGCTTAACCCTCCACGAAATAAAGAATTCAACAAGTGTTAAGTAGAAAAACCACTGTTCCTCAAGAGTGCAGACAAGGGCTACAAACAAAATCAAATCTCAAAATGTTAATTTCTAACATTAATTTTTTTGTATTCTGTATACTAGTTACAAAAATCAGGGGAAACATATATTTGTCTTTTTGGAACTGGTTTATTTTACTAAGCATAATGGTGTTCAGTTATATCATTTTGTTGCAAAAGACAGAATTTCATTTCTTTTTTATGGCTGAGTAGTATTCCATCATATACAAATACCATAGTTTCTTTACCCAGTCATCAGTTGATGAACATCTGGGTTGATTCCATACCTTAGCTATTGTGAGTTAAGCTGCTATAAACATGGGTGTACAGACAACTCTCATATGATGACTTCATCTCCTATAGATAAATTCCCAGGAGTAGAATGGCTGGTCATATGGTAGGTCAATTTTCAGACTTCTGAGGGATCTCCATACTGTCTTCCACAATGGTTGCACCAGTTAACATTCCCACCAGTGTACTAGGGGACCTTCTTCCCCACATCCTTACCAGAATTTTTATTTATTATTATTATTAGATGAGAAACATTCTAACTTGGGTGATGTGAAATACCACTGTGGTTTTTTATTTCCATTTCCCTGATGGCTAGTGATCCTGCGCATCTTTTCATGTGTCTGTTGGCCATTTGTATTTTATCTTTTGAAAAACGCCTCTTCGTATCCTTAGTCCATTTCCTAACAAGATTGCTTATTTTGTTGTTAAGTTTCTTGAGCTCCTTATATATTGGACACTAATTCTTTACTGGATGTATAATTTGCAAACATTTTCTACCATTCTGTCTGTTGTCTCTTTACTTCGTTGAATGTTTCCTTTGCTGTGCAAAAGTGTCTTAGCTTGAACTGTCTAGTTCAATACAAGGTCTAAATACAAGTGTTGTTCAAGAGTTTACCTTCAATCTTCAATGCTTTCTATCCTCCCTAACTAATCACATTTACTCTTTAAATGCGGTATCTAATTTCAGAGTTTACAATCCAAAAAGGAGTTAATCTCATACATGTTAGAGAATAACATTTAAGTTTTATGACCATGTGATCGTGGATATGATGATGATGACAGTGGTAATATAGTAATGACATCATACTAACATACTTAATAATTAATATAAGCAAGGTATTATTCTAAACTTTTTACACATATGAGGCGACTTCAAAAAGTTTGTGAAAAAGTTTAATTAAATGATAAATTTAGGGGTTGGCCTGTGGCATATTAGGTTAAGCCTCCACCTGCGGCACCAGCATCCTATATGTGTGCCTGTTTGAGTCCCAGCTGCTCTATTTCTGATCCAGTTCTCTGCTAACATGCCTGGCAATGCAGTGGAAGATGGCCCAAGTGTTTGGGTCCCTGCACCCACGTTGGAAAACAAGAAAAAGCTCCTGGCTCGTGGCTTTGGACCAGCCCAGCTCAGGCCATTGTAGCCATTTGGGGAGTGAACCAATAGATGGAAGACATCTGTCTCTCCCTCTCTCTCTCCATAACTCTGCCTCTCAAATAAATAAATAAGTTTGTAAAAAGAAAAAAAAAGATAAATTTCTTTTTGATGAAAAAACTTTTGAGGGGCCAGCACCATGGCATTGCAGGCAAAGCTGCCACCTGCAGTACTAGCATCCCATATGGGCATCAGTTCAAGTCTCTGCTGCTCCTCTTCCTATTCAGCTCCCTGCTATGGCCAGGGAAAGTGGTGGAAGATGGCCCAAGCTCTTGGGTCCCTGCACCCATCTGGGAGACCCAGGAAAGCTCCCTGATACTGGCTTCAGATCCATGCAGTTCCAATTGTTAACAGTCATCTGGGGAGTGAACCAGCGGATGGAAGATTCTCTCTCCTTTCTCTCTAACTCTGCCTTTCAAATAAATAAAATAAACCTTAAAAAAAAAAAAAGGAAAAAGACTTTTGAAATCCATGTATACTTTCTTCATAATATGAATTTTCTAAAAACTTTTTGAAGGTCCCTATTATTATCATCCTTAACCTTCATAATAATCCCATGAGGTGTTTACTGATTTTACAGACACAAAAAGAAACAAAGAGTTAATCAACTATGAAGGTTGCCCAATAGTAAGTAGCAAAAATACCAATTGAAAAGACCAGGAATCCAAAATTCAAAATAAACCCTTATATTTATGGTCAGTTTATTTTCAACATGGATGCCACGACAATTCAATGGGCAAAGAACAGTCTTTTCAATAACTGGTACTGGGACAAACAGCTATTCATAAGAAAAACAATGAAGATGACCCAAACCTCACACTACATACAAAAATTAACTTGAAATGAATTACAGATTTAAATGTAAGAGCTAAAACTACAAAACTTTTAGATGAAAATATGAGTAAATATCTCCATGAGCCCTGAGTTATACAATGACTTCCTAGATATGACATCAAAGGCATAAGCAACCAAAGAAAAAATAAACTGGACTACAAACTATATTGAATCTGTTAAAAACTAATTAAAAATAAAAATAAACAAAATAACTAGTTAAAAATTTGAATTTAAAAATTTAATAAATCACCCTTCATCAAAATTAAATATTTTTATGCTTCAAAGGAATAATCAAGAAACTGAAAAAGACAATCAACAGAATGAGAGGAAATATTTGCAAATCATACATCTGATAAAGGACTTGAATCTAGACTATATAAAATTATTACAATTCACCAATTAAAAAAACAATTTTAAAATGAGCAGAGGTCTGGAATAGACATTTCTCCTAAGAAATGGCCAATATGCACATGAAAAGATGCTCTACATAGTTAGTCACTAAGGAAATGCCAATCCAAATCACAACAAGATACCATCTCACACCCACTTAGATGGCTATACTCCAAAGGATGGACAAGAACCAATAAGAATGTAGAGTAACTTGGCCAGCGCCGTGGCTCACTAGGCTATTCCTCCGCCTGCGGCGCCAGCACACCAGGTTCTAGTCCCGGTCAGGGCGCCGGATCCTGTACCGGTTGCCCCTCTTCCAGTCCAGCTCTCTGCTGTGGCCCGGGAGGGCAGTGGAGCATGGCCCAAGTGCTTGGGTCCCTGCACCCGCATGGGAGACCAGGAGGAAGCACCTGGCTCCTGGCTTCAGATCAGCGCAGTGCACCGGCCACAGCGCGCCGGCCGCAGCAGCCATTAAAGGGTGAACCAACGGTAAAGGAAGACCTTTCTCTCTGTCTCTCTCTCTCTCTCTCTCTCACTGTCCATTCTGCCTGAAAAAAAAAAAAGAAAAAAGAATGTGGAGTAAATGAAATTCTCATATGCTGCTGAGAGTAATTTAAAATGCTGTAGGTACTTTGGCAAACATTTTGGCAGTTCCTCAAAATGTTAAAGAGTTATCCAGAAATTCCACTCCTACATATAAATCCAAGAGACTTGAAAACATGTTGCAATAAATTTTCACAGCAGCATTATTACTTTTAATAGCCTAAAAGTAGAAATTTACCAAATGTCTACCAACTACTTAGATTTGTTAAATAAAATGTGGTATATCCATTTAATAGAATATGATTTGGCAATAATAAAGTACTCATATATGCTAGAATATAGATGAGCCCTGAACAACAGGACATACTATGCTGAGAGAAAAACTATAAGGCCACATATTGTATGATACCATTTACATGAACCCCAAATAGTCAAAATCACAGAAACATAAAGCAGATTTGTGGCTGCAAGTCTGGAGGGAGGAGAAAACAGAGTGTGACTAGAAAAAGGGTATGGGGTTCCTTTTGGGGGATAATGAAAATGTCCTGGAATTAGATAGTGATAACAGTTGCACAACTGTGTGAATATCCTAAGAAACCTCTGAATTGTATCCTTTAAAGGGTAAACCTGATGGCACATGAAAAAAGCCGTTATAAAAAAGGTATGATCCTAGGGGCTGGCTCTGTAGTAGGTAAAGTCGCCCTCTGTGGTGCTGGCATTCCCACATGGGCGCTAGTTATTAGAGTCTTGGCTGCTCCACTTCCGATCCAGCTCCCTGCTAATGCATCCAAAAAAGCAGCAGCAGGCGTCCGAAGTACTTGCAGCCATTTGGGGAGTGAACCAGCAGATGGAAGATCTCTCTCCCTCTGTAACTCTGCCTTTCAAATAAATAAATAAATAAATCTTAAAAAAAAGGTATAATTGCATAGCACAATGTACTATGCTTAAACAATTTTTTAACATATTTTATAAAGTAGAAGAGAGATCTTTAAAGGTTATCAACATTAAGAAATGATAAATGTTTAATGAAATGGGAATCTTAATTACCCTAATTTGACCATTACATATTAGATACTTGCACCAAATTATCAGTGTGCCCCATAAATATATGCAATTATCATATCAGTCTAAAATAAAATGGAATGAACCATATTTAAAAGGATGCTTAATCACAAGAAAACACATAAAAGTATAAAAAAGAGAATGCAGAACTATATATAACATATTCTCAAATATGTTACCATATATACACATTATTAACAAAGCACTTATGTGTGCTAAGAGCTTCACATTTAATCCCACAACATATGAAGCACCTATTGTCCTGAGAGACAATATAGCACAGTGGTTAAGAGTACAATCTGGTACTAGCCATCAGAAAAATGCAAATAAAAACCACAAGGAAGGATCACCTCTCCTGGCTTCAACACGGCCCAGCACTGGCAGTTGAGGCCATCTAGGGGGTGAACTGACAGATGGAAGATCTCTCTCTCTCTCTCTGGCCTTATCTCCCTGTCACTCTGTTATTTCAAATAATCACACCTATCTGTAGAGTAATGGTGACTTCTGATAGTAAATATAATGTATTCAAATGAAAAAACCAAACTTTTCCAAGAAAATGTATATTGAAATTACTATAAACACATGATCAAGTGTCCAAGCATTTTGTATGAATGTGGACAGTAATCAACTGCCATGCAGTGACCACCTGTGTAAAAGGTCAGTGACGACTCAAGGAATGGCAGGCAGCCTCTAGAACCAGAGGGCAACCTGGGTAAGAAGCTGGAGGGAAGTGGGTTGGGGAGTGGCACTCAGTCTCACAACCACTGCCAGGGAATAAAATCTGCCACAGACCTGAGCGAGTCTGGAAGTGGATTGCCAAGTTGAGCCTCCAGATGAGGATGCAGACTGGCGAACACCTTGATTACAACTTTGCGAGAACTCAAGCAGAGTATTCAACTAGGCCACGTCCAAAATCATAACCCACAGAAATTGTGAGATAATGCTGTGGCTTAAACATGGGGTGTCCCCTCTGTATTCACGCTGTAATCTGACTGCCACTGTGGCAGTGTGGTGAGGCAGGGCCTTTAAGAGGTGACTAGGTTAAAAGGGCTTAATGCCTTTCACAGGGGACTGAGTTGATTCGAGGGACTGAAGTAGTTACCAACAAGGTAAGCTGTTATAAAGTGAGACTGCCCCTCATATTTTGCCTCTTCCAAACATGTCTGCTTCCCCTCCCAATTTCCACCGTGTTGTAAAGTAGCATGAGGTCCCCAGTGGCTGCAGCCACTGATCTTGGATCTTGCAGCCCCCAGAAATGTGAGTCAAGTGAACATCTTTTCTCCATAAATTACCAGTCTCAGGTATTCTCACAACAGCAGAAAACAGACTAAGACAGAAAACAAGTAGGTAGACATTTTAAGCTACTAAATGGTAATTTCATACATAGGAAACTGATTTTCCTTCTATTCTTTTCTTCACAGAGTATGTTGGCCCCTCCCTATATAGAACCACTTGCTTTCCATTAGATGCCCTCTCCTTTCATCCAATAATTGCTTTGCGGGCAGCTACAACATACCAGCAACTGGCTGGGAGTCAGAAATAAAATAGTAAAGAAATCTATTATGTGGGGCCAGCACTGTGGTGGAGTGGGTTAAGCCTGAGATTCTGGCATCCTATACGGGTGCCAGTTTGAGTCCCAGCTGCTCCACTTCTGATCCAGCTCCCTGCTAATGTGCCTGGGAAAGCAGCAAAGGATGGCCCAAATGCTTGGGCTCCTGCACCCACATAGGAGTTGTGAAAGAAACTCCTGACTCCTGGCTTCGGCCTCTGGGGGAGTGAACCAGCAGATGGAAGATCTCTCCCTCTCTCTGTACCTCTGCCTTTCACATAAATCAATCTTTAAAAAGAAAAGAAATATCTGCCTCTTCTCTCTGTTTCCCCCAGAATGTTTAAGCTGAGAGCCAAAGTACAAATAAAAGAAATGGAGGGGAAAAATGGGCAGGGGAAAGGCACTACAAAGAGTTTGGGACGTTCAGTTTGACCAACAAAGATCTGGGAGGCTGAGACTAGAGAAGAGTTGAGAAAGAAAGGCAGCGGGCAAGTTAGGGCCTGGTGAGCCACGGCTATTTGAACACCACCTAAAGACCACAGGAAACCACTAACGGATTGATTTTAAGCAGGTAAACAGCAAACCCACTCTGACCACGGTGGAAAACTGATCAAAGAGACACCAGAACCCTTCCCAAACACTAACTCCATCCCACCCAGCAAACAGAGCACGTATGCAACTCCACCTTCGAGACTTCCTCAAAGTTTAATGGCTCCTCGCGGTACAGACAAATCCAACCTGAGATCCTCTCCCCCGTGAGGCCCTACTGACATTTCCACTCTCTTCTCACACCTACACATCCGAAGGCCACGATCTTGCCTTCCCCGGCATTCCCATCACTCCTTCCTGCTTGGAACGGCCTTCAGACTTTCACTGCCTTCTCTACCAAGTTAACTTCAACAGACCCCTCCAAACTCAGTCAGGCGGCCCCTTCTGAGAAACCGCCTGATAACATCCATGGACTTAAATACCCTCCCTGGCTCTCTGTACCCCGGGTGGTTTGTCTCCATCCTGCTAGACAGCAAAGCCCTTGAAAGCTACAATCAAGTACCCCAACTTCTAGAGCGGTGTAAAAGCCCCCGAAAGCGGTGCGCCTGCGCACACTCGGGGAACGAACCAGACCCAAGCACACCCTGAGGGGCACCCTGAGACACACAAACGCTCTCAAAACTCAGAGCGCCGGAGCCGCGCTTTCGGGAGTATCGGTTCCCGATCCAAGCTCCTGGATCCCCAGGAAACAAAAACAGAGACGCCACCACCGTTCTCCCCGCCCCGTGCCTGGCCGCGGCCCTAGGGCTCAGCGGAGTCGTGCTTGGTCACCTCGGCCTGCCTCGCCGTTTCCGGACTGCTACCTCCACAGCGACTAAAACTTCGGTCTCCAGAACCGCGGAGCGCGCCACAGGTTAACGCAGCCTACAGCTTCCGGTCTGTTGCTGGGTTACCAGAGCCCCGCCCCACGCCCTTGCGCACATCCGGCGAGCCCCGTGCGCAGGCGCCCGCCCCCGAAGCCGGGCTAGGACTCTGGTGCGCTGATGGTGGTGTCTCTGGTCGGCTTTGGGGTTCCTTGAAGGTTTCAGGGTAAAGCTTCGAAGGGTAGGCATGTAGTATTAGCTGGTGCCTCGAAAATTCACCAGAAGTAAGGTGTTTACAAACTACTTTTCACATATCACATTTGTTTGCTATAACGTCTACTCGTTTACTTAAAAATGTTTCGCCAGAAACCATGCAGTATTCGGTGGGGACTCAAAATAGGCAAGGTTCCTGCCATTAGGAAGCTTACAGCGTAGTGGCAGAGATCTGTCAACCACACGATGTAAAACTGGAACCGACTAGTGCTAAGAAAAAAACACATTAAATAGATACTAAGTTTGTTACTACAGAAATATTTGAATTAGCAAAGTTGAGATGCAAGGATGAGTAAGCCACCAGGGAAGGGAAGAGCATTCCCGCACAGCCAGCTGATGTGCAAAGGCCTGGGGCGAAGTCTAGTGTGTCTGGAGTTTGGTGAACGGGAGGATGGTGTGAGGGAAACTGCCCTAATATGCCAGAGCCCGTACAGACAGAACTATGTAGGTGGTGCCAAGGCTTCTCAAAGCATATCAAAAACAGGTCTAATTTGTTTCAGTACAGCAATTTCCTTTAGCTTCTGGTTTTCTTTTTTATTTTTCTTTAAGATGTTTATTTATTTGAGAGGTAGAGTTACAGACAGAGGGAGAGACAAAGAGAAAGGTCTTCCATCTACACTGCCACAGTGTAGCTGGGCAGATCAGAAGCCAGGAACCAGGAGCTTCCTCCTGGTCTCCCACATGGGTGCAGGAGCCCAAGTGCTTGAGCCATCTTCCACTGCTTTCCCAGGCCATAAGCAGAGAGCTGGACCAGAGGAGGAGCAGCTCGGACACAATCTGGGGCTTTTACGGGATGTTAGCACCACAGGTGGAGGCTTAGCCTAATACACCACAGGGCTGACCCCTAGTTTCTGGTTTTCAACTGATAAAACACACAGGTGTGTGTGTGTGTGTATATATATATATATATATAGAGAGAGAGAGAGAGAGAAAGGGATAATAAAATGAATACTTAATTAATCTAAAAGGAGGCAGAAAGAACAAAAAAGGAAACAAAGAATATAGGAGATGAATATAAAGGAAATAGCAAGATGATGGACTCAATCAATTAAATGTAAATAGTCTAATGCCTGATTAAAAGATGTGTCTTGTGAGATTGGGTTTTAAAAATTGCTATCTATAAGAAAATATACCCTTTATGTAAATTTAAAGAAAGTTTAAAGGACAAGGTGGAAAATACATATCATGCTAACACAAGTCCAGAGAAAACAGTAATGGCTTTATAAAGTGGATTTCAGACAAAAGAATATTGCCAAGGAACCATTTAGTCAAAAGGACAAAATAATCCTAAGTAATAGGTATGTACCTGATAACAAACTCAAAAATGAAGCAAAAGCTGATAGTACTGGCATATAAAATGCAAAAGCCCACAATTATACGTAGTTATCCTCTGAATAATTTACAATCCTTGTAGGCAGAAAATTATCAGTTTGAACAATATTAGCCATCTTGACCCGATTGACACATATAGAACACTCCTCCAACAATCAGCAGAATATACTTACTTCTTAAACGTATACAGGATGTTTAGAAGATGGGTAACAACATGGAACAAAACCAAGTTCCAATAAATTCAACAAGTTTCAAATCATAATAAATATAATTCTCTGACCACAATGTACTTAAATTAGAAATCAATAACAGAATGATTCTTCAAAACTCCCTCAAATTAGTTAGGGGAAACACACTTCTAAATAAGCCATTGGTATGTGTCCCTCTCCCCCATAAAATCCATTTGTTGAAACTTAATTTCCAGCATAATAACACTAAAAGGTTGGGTCCTTGGAGTGTAATTATGTCACAAGGTCTCTGCCCATAATGACTGTGACTTGTGCTGTTATAAAGGAGCTTGAGAGACCCTATTTGAGCCTTATGCCCTATTTGTCCACCATGTGAAGCCACAGTAACGAAACACTGAATCTGCTGGTGGCTTGATCTTGTCCTTCCCAACCTCCAGAAATGAGGTGTAAGTGGGGAGGGGGAGAGAATTACTTTTATTCATAAATTATCCAGTCTGAGGGGGTTTTTTAAGGTTTATTTATTTATTTGAAAGAGATAAGGAGGGAGGGAGGGAGGGAGGGAGAGAGAGTCTTCCACCTACTGTTTCACTCCCCAGATAGCCACAATGGCCAGTGATAGGCCAGGCCTGAAGACAGGAACCAGGAGCTTCATCTGGGTCTCCCACGTGGGTGGCAGGAACCCAAACACTTGGAACATCTTCTGCTGTTTTTCGCAGTCCCTTAGCAGGGAGCTGGATAAGAAGTGGAGCAGCTGAGAAACAAACCAGAGCCCGTATGGGATGTCAGCATCACAGGCAGCAGCCACAATGCCAACACCTGAGGTATATTATTAATGCAGCTTAAACAGACTAAGACAGCCATTAATCAAACAAGAAATCAAGATATAAAATGTGCTTCAAACTGCATAAAAATGAAAATACAATGCACTAAAGTTTATAGAATGTGATTTAGACAATACTTAAGAGATAAACTAATATCACTAAACAACTATATTAGCAAAAAAGAAATAGCTCAAATCAATGACCTTAGCTTCTACCTCTAGAAACTAGAAGAGCAAGTTAAAACCAAAGTAAGCAGAAGAAAATAAATAGTAAAAATCAATGCTGAATCAATGAAATAGAAAAAATGAAAACAGTAGACAAAATTGATAACATTGTTATGAAATGGATATGATTTTTCCCATATCATGTGTAGGAAGCATGGCTCTCAGGGTGGTAATGTGAGAGGTGGTGGACCTTTAAGACAAGGGGCCCAATAAAAGGCTCTTAGGTCATTGAGAGCCTTGCTCTCAGAAGGAATTATGGCAGTCCTCATGGAACCCTAAGTTCCTGCCAAAGCAAGTTGTAAAAATCTAAGCCTGACCCCTGCCCCCAGTCTCTGTTTTTCCATCTTGTGAGTACTCCCTCACTCTCACACTCACTGCCACTGTGCCGTGCCAGCCCTCATGAGGTCTTCACCAGAGTCTAGCTTATGTCTTTGAACCTCCAGAAGGTTAACCAGCCTTGGGTATTTTTGATAGAGACAGAAAGCAAGCTAGTACAGAAATTAATCTTTAAAAAGATAGATTAAATTGATAAACCTCTGACCAATTGCTCAGGAGAAAATTTTCTATAAATTACCAATACCAGGAATGAAAGAGGTGATAATTCCATATTGGATTATCTTTCCAATAGTATGGAATCCTGGGTTGTTTCTTTAGATTTGAAACATGTAGGCAATGATTGGCTTGCTGGAGGTTCACTGCTATATTTTTTGTGAACAACACCTGTTCACAACAGGTGCCGGGTGCAGGGGCCCAAGGATTTGGGCCATCTTCCACTGCTTTCCCAGCAGAGAGCTGGATCAGAAGTGGAGCAGCCAGGACTCTAACCGGTTCCCATATGAATGCCAGCACCAAAGATGGCAGTTTTACCAGCTACGCCACAGCGACAGCCCTCCAGTCATTTCTTATAAAAGTTTATATACCTCAGGCTGGAAACATACAATCAGGCAGATTTTTAGAAAACATAAAGGCTGAGGGGAACAGCATTGTAGTACAGCCTTGTACCACCACACACGATGCCCAAATTCCTTATCAGAGTGCTGGTTTGAATCCTGGCTGCTCAGCTTCCCATCCAGCTTCTTGTTAATGCATCAAGGAAGACAACAGAAGATGGCTGAAGTACTTGAGCCCCTGCCACTATTTGGGAGACCAGGATGGAGTTCTTGGCTGCTGGCTTCAGCCTGGATCAGCCCTGGCCATCGCAGCCATTTTGAAGTGAATCAGCAGATAGAAGCTATCTTTCTCTCTCTCTCTCTCTCTCTCTCTCTCTCTCTGTCACTCTGCCTTTCAAGTAAATAATAAATAAGTTTTTCTATTAAAAAGGCAAATGCAACGACTGGAAATTTGCACCAAGGATATTGTTCAGCCCACCCTAAAACTAGAAAAATCCCACCTGAAAGTGATCAAGGATTCCTTGAAGATTTGCTTCTTGGCCATGCTTCACCTCTAGTTTCTTTTTTTTTCTTTCTTAAAAAAATTCATTTATTTATTTGAAAGGCAGAGAGATAGACTCTTCCATTTGATGGTTCACTCCCTAAATGTCTGCAAAAGGCCCCTTCTGGCCAGAAGCCCGGAACCCAATCAAGTGTTATGTTGTTCACAAGAAATTCATGGCCCCAAAACAATCTCAAGTGCCTTTTTAAAGTTTCCCATTGATGTTGATTTAAGATAGTAATCAATTTGTCTTTATCATAATGAGTAATTTCATGGAGAAATTCAGCTGACATCAATCTGAAATTGCCTTGTGCCACCAAATGGCCATCTTAAGAGTGCCAAGGGTTATCTAGTAAAGGATACATTTTTTCCTTTCTTCATTTCTCAAATCAGGCACTCAAACCTGGTATTGCCATGGCCTCCTTCATTTCATCCAGAAATTAGCCTTTGGAGGGTTAGGTAGTAGCATAACCTTGGTTAGGGGTGCTTGTTTGGCAAAATGGTAGGCTGGAATATTTCCTGTGCATATTATCTCTCTTAGCATGTGCTTCAGTCTTTATAGTAGCCATATCACTAGGAAGTAGGAGTGTGTCTAAAAATGCTTTAACTTGTTCATTTCTGATGGGATTCCAGCA